TGAGCGGGGGTCAAAATTCTTATCCGGTTTCTTTGACGGTAAGGAATTTGCTTACGGTGGCTTACAAAACCCAAGGTTTAGCTTACGGCGCTCGCTTTTCTTGTCAAGCGCTTACGGCGCTTACGGTGGCAACGTGGAGAACCCCAACTAAGAGCTTGCGGCGGCTTACGGTGCAACATGCGGAACAAGTTTGCTTATGGTAGCTTACGAAACACACGCGTTTGCTTACAGCAAGCTCCTTACCGCCACTCGCTAAAGGGTTTCCCACTAGAGGATTTTGATCTCTGCTCTATTCAACTGCACGAGATGAGAATGCAGGAAACTGAACACCGACGCATTTTCCGCAAAGGCCTTGTGACAGAAGCAGGTTTTAAACTCTCAAAGTGCCAAAGCCCGAGCTGCTCAAGCTTCCTTCAAAAGCGCTGCCCTGCTTATTACGTAATGGAGTTCAGAGTTCAGAGGATCATCAATTCGTTCTCTCCACTCGCTCCTGATTCCACATGCCCGCCGGGCTTTGTGGCACGACAGCCTGCATGTCTGCAAGAAGCGGCTCAGCAGTTCCCATGGACCTCATGGATATGGCGAACTTGTGTATTCATCCAAATGAATAGGGGAACCTCGCTCGGGCATGCTCTGGAAACGATTTCTTGGTTGTTTTGAAAGACCAAAATGCAGTCCCGGCGTTCTTGCTACGGATGTCATGGAGGCGGTGAGTGATGAATCAACGCATTCTGACATGTTGCTCAGGAGGACTCGGGCTTGCGGTTGCTGCGCGGACCACGTCATGTGAGTGAGTGCGACTCTTCAGCCTGACAGGGATTCAAAAACAGCACCCGCCTCTACCACGCGCCTCTTCTTGTCGAAGCACTTCCTGTCCTGACGTGCATCCGAAGCAAAAGATCGCTGCTTCAGCATCTCCTCCTCAACCATTCTCAACTTGCGCTCCCCAAATGCGAGCCCCGGCTACTTAAGCATCTGAGCCCTGCACCCAGAGCAACCCCCAGGAGGGCTGTGCTGCAGAGCGCTGTAGCGACACCTGCCAGCTTGTCAGAAGTCGTGTCTGGGCGATTCAATCAGAGTGCCTACTGAACCACCCTGAAGGCCACCAATCAAGAAACACCAAGAGTGCCTCGATGAACTTGACACCAGCGTCAGGGTCAAGGTCAGGGGCAGCGATGCTGGCAAAGTGTCACATTGTCTTCAGAATGCGCCGAGCTACAGCTGCAGAAACGTGTTCTTCATAAGCAGCAGTAAGCCCATGCTTGCTGCTCTGCAGCAATGCGAGTGAGAGCGCTGGATGTTGCACGATCACCCTACTTGCATGTTCCAGCTCATGCATGTTACCGTCCTAGCAACATCGACGGCTGCTTGCATGAAGTTGTGCTCATGAAAGGAGAGGTTGGCACAGCTCCTGATCCTCTGGAGCAAGGCCCTAATCTGCCTGTAGGAGTACCCCAAGGTCATGAGCTCACAAATCAATGTTCTTATTCTGGAGCCACAATAGATAAACTCTAGCTTGGCTGCTCAACGGACATGCGAGAGCATGCGATGGCAGCAACTTGTGCCACAGCTGAAACGGCCCGTGACGCGCCCCGCCACTTCGGCTGCCTCCATTTGTCGATACCGGGAGACATCAACAGACAATAGAGCTAGAAGAGTCGTAGCCCTTGCTGGGCAGGATGCCTCCTGCCCAGCATCTCGAATGTACTACGACTGCGTTAAGTCGACCCGTTCAGGAGGAACTCCACATCAGCCATCAGCCCTGAAAGAACGTTGGGCACGCACAGATGTAATTAAGCGTGACAGTTGGGGCGACTCATCTCCGGTAACAGCGGACGCGGCAGATTGAGGTCTCCTGTCTTGGCAGATTGGGGCTAAGACTTCATCTGGATCGCACTGCGGTGTCAACCGAGCCGATGCGCCTTCGATAGGAGCCGGTGGATGCCGTCGCCTCCTGGCACAACGAAGCAGCTCGAGGCCATACTTTGTGATGTACACGGCAAATGCCCAACCGAGCTCAAGTGCCGCTGTGTGGGGCCTTTGACAGACTGGAAGCTCTGAAATCATAGTAGCATGCAAGACGTGCTTGCGGGTGTGGCTCTTGAACTGTCCGTCAGCATGAGGTGCATTATCATGCGCTTCCAGGCACGGGGATGCTTGCGCATCCCGCAAAGTGCAAACGTATCAAAGGCCATTCCCCAGCACTATGAAACTTCACATTGGGCATTGCCTCCATTACAGCTGTCAGCGCCGTGGGCGGATCACTCAAATATTTTGGCCTGTAGCGGGAGCAAGCAGCCAGGCAAGAAAGTGTAGCATGTGCCAGCCTGGCTTACCAAACCACATGAGCATACTGGCTTCGACGGCTTGCTGAGACCTGCTTTCCCGCTTTGCCTGCAGATATGAGTCATGCTGTGCTAAAGCCCTGCTGATGCCTTGCAGGATACATGGACTTCAGCGGCGTCAGAGAGTTCGGTGTGCGTTTTGCTTTGCCCGTGGTGCTTGCCCTTAACAATAGAAGATTTCGCATGCCCAGGGGAGCTGTGAGCGAAAGCGTCATCTCCGAGGGCAGGGCAAGAAAGCCGTTGGCGTGGGAGGCACGCTCTGCTGTACATCCTCCGAACACAGGTGTCAGGATCTGCGTACTGTTTCTTGGAATGAATCCTTTGGTGCAGGCAGCTCTTCATGATTATCAGTAATGGCAAGCGATCAGCACACTGTCTTTGCCAACGCTGCATTTCTGGAAAGGAACATAAGCCAAGATGTTGTAAGACTTGCCAATATGAGCACGCGAGGTATGCAAGCCTCTCGGTCCACTATGAGCCCTGTTCTTGCAAAGATGCAGCAACAGCGAGCTGAACGACAGCTACTGCAAACTGCACCAAGCATGTGAAGTCCGAGACTACCGTATTGTCTCCTGCGATGGCTGCGAGGGCTGCGATGTTGTGTCAGCGGGAAGCCTGCATGAATGCAGAGCGAGTGAAAACCGCGTCAGAGCTTTGGGGATGTCAAACGACTTCACGATTAATGCCCGCCGGCAGGCACACACGTGATTTCCGCACATGGGTCAAAATTGATCGATGTTTTTGGTAGTTGAGATGTCGAAAGCATAATGTTTGACTGGAATCGCTCTGGATCTGTAGTGCGCTTGCCTGCTCTCAGGGCGCTCCCCTGAAAGGACGTACCGAAGCAACTCCTGGCAAGTTTGGAAGATTGGGCACGCTTTAATTAACAGGAGCTGTTCAGTAGTTGTTAGCAGCTCCGAGAAAGCTGTTTGAGATGAGCCCGTGCAACGCACACAACCTGATGTGAAGACAACCGGTTTGCGCTGGCAAGTCTTGGAGGTCTTGCAAGTACGGCTATGTATGCACAGCTGGGATGGCTCCGTGTACACTGCTGCTTTTGGTGACCGCTGGGAAACTAGATTCCTGTTCAATAATCCTTGCTGCTGACTACAAAATGTCTGCTTTGGATGCCTGCAGAATTCCGTAGTGAGAAGGCTCCCAGCCCCCCCATAGCTGCAAGAAGCTAGAGCACAAGCCTCAAATACAACTTTTGCCGGGTGACTAATCCTTCCCGCGACCTTGGATGAGCTCTCAACGGGCTTTGGAGGATAGATACCAAACGCTGCTCTGGGCTTTGAATTCCCAAAGTTAAGACCTGCAATCTTGCTGGGAGTCATGAGACAAGGCAAGTCAAGCGTCTGTAACTTGTACTTCAAAAAGACATGGGCTGCCGGTTTGGACAGATAGCGCAATGTGCACATGTGTGCAAGTTGTGCTACAGCCACCAGCCTTTTAATTGACAAAGTAAGCTGCTAATATGGCCTTCAGGTCAGTAGTGCAAGGCTGACGTGCTGTAATATGTTGCGGATCCATATAAGGCAACCTCTACTCTTCTTCTGCGTCCCAGGGACACTGAAGGTCAGTAGTGCAAGGCTGACGTGCTGTAATATGTTGCGGATCCATATAAGGCAACCTCTACACTTCTTCTGCGTCCCAGGGACAGCTGGACTGCCTGTGCGACCGAGACTGCCAAAGCCTGCCAGCTTTCATGAAGTCTTCAAGCCCTTAGAGGCAACTATTCAAAATGGAGGAATGCAGACATTATCTTGTTGTTCACGAGGAAATCTGATTTAAACGGCCCGGAGGCCTGCTCTCGGATTGGACTGCGCCCTTAGGCTTGGGTCACGGGACAGAAAGAACTTTGATCATTGGCTCATCTGAAGACCAACAACTATAGGGTATAAGAATTCTGGGCAAACGGATTTCGGCCTCCAAGCGCTCCTCTGCGCGGTTCAGGCGCCGGGCCAGGTCCCCGGCACCAAGGCCATCCAAGGCCGTGAGATCTCGCGAAGCTCAGGCTGAGACAGAATTTGGAGGTCTCTCTGCAGTGACAGGAATCTATCAGCAATTGGACCGCCCATTCTTCATGCTGGCAGAAGCTGAGCTTCAAGCTGGCCACGAGGGCCTCGATGCAGTCATCGGTGAGACCTAGGAAGATCTTCGGAACTTCGCCGGATCCGCGCGCTGCTTTGACCGGCAAGCTTTTGGCAATGTTAACGTGAAAATGTTGAAGCCGCTGCTCAATCGATGAGACTTCGCGGGTAGCGGCGGAAAGGTCTTTCGGGCGACTTCCTGCTTTACTTCAAAGATTCTACGACTAGCTCATGCTGCAAATCGCAATGCAAAATGGGCGCTATGTGCTCTAACGGAGGAAGGCAAACTCTGATGATGAGACATTCCCCGCAAAAAGGTACTTCTATCTACTCAACTAAATTCTAAATGCCTTGCATGCCACGCAGCAGGTTCGGATCTAGTGCCAATTCTTCTACGCAATACAGGCCCATAAGACTTCGCTGCCTGAAATCTAGAAGCCTGTGTCGTGACCCAAACTTCTCCGCAGCTTGAAAGCCAACGTGGTGTACAAACACATCCGGGAAAGTGGATCTGTGTTGCAACTCTCCTTGACTCCAAGCCAGCGTCAACCCTGCTCGGAAGTACCAAGGTATCAGACCAGTGCTGCTGCGCTGAAACTGAAGCATGCCGAAGCCTCCAGGACAAGCCAGTGCACAGCAAAGCAAGATTCACCAATCATCTCGGAGACAACATCTTAGGCGAGCAAGTACAGCTGGAAGCGCGTCGCGTTTTCGAAGGAACGACTTGACAAGGTGACCTCACAATGACTCAGCCTTTATTGGCGATAGCTATCTCCTAACATGGTCTAACATCACTGCTTGCTCGATATATTTCGCCAAGCTCTCTCGCTGCAGACCCCATCATGCCCACAAGTCGCTTTGATAAGCTTGCCACCGGCTAGGGCAAAACGGGACTCAACGTCAATGCATCCCTCATGCTTGTAGGGCATACCCTCAGTATCTAAGCCCAACAGCATCGGCCTTTTCTGGGCAGGAAGTGAGGCTCCGCCTCCGCACCTGCCGATTCGCCGGCCTCTGTCACATGCGCGGCTTTTTGCCTTGTAGGAATGAGATTTCAACAGGTTCACGAGTCCGTAGAAATCACAGTCATCAACTGATGTGACGGATTCATTTGTAAACACTCTGATTCATCCACAACAGCCATGCGCGCCATCGCATCGCCATGTGCCTGGAAGGCTGCCTGAACAGCGGGGCCATACTCAAAGTCTTGGCGCATTCTGTCAACCTTCTCTTCCAGAACCTGGCGGGCTTCTCGAGCTCAGTTTTTCAAGGCAGGCAAGTCGAGGGGCAGTGTGTTGACAAGCTACAGTTCGCGCAAAAGTACGCCTGTTGACGGCTTCAAGTTCAGTTGGGCAGCACTGGTGGAGCCTCTCGAGTAGCATCAACAATCTACACATCGGGCTAGTCTGCTGCTGCATCGGATTGCTTTCGCTTGACGCGTCTCTGGCTGGCTAGGGGGTATGCTGGGATATCAGAATTGTCTCGAGACAAACTGTTCCATGCTTGCGCTTTAGCAGGGCTCCCTGCTTAAGGCCATCCAACATCATACAGTACACAGCCGCCTCCTCCAAAGAGCAAGCAAAGCATTCCCAAGAAGCTCCCGCACCGCCTAGCCTTGACTCTGTCTTCCGTCCGCCGGGCATGAACCTCCTGGCGCATGAAGCCCAGCGTCACAGGCAAGGCCATGAGTGAGAGCATCATGCAAATCATGCAAATCCAGTGGATGCCGCAGGTCCTATGACATGTGATACTCCTGGTGCTACCCAGAACGGCATTTGATCCACAGGCTGAAAGCGTCCTCACTCATGGCCAGAAAGCGCCGACCTGAATCGAAGAAAAAAAAGATTTGGGGTGTGTGTCAAGATGCTTTTGAACCAGTGGCTCAAGCTGGTGTTGAAGGTCTTTCAGAATTCGCGGGGTTGAAGCCACCATCGCCAGTGAAATTTCACCATTTTAATTCAGAGCACCAAAAAGGCCATGAAGCAATCCATGTTCTGAAGCTGCGCATTGCAGAAAGCCTAGCCCTCAGACATGCACAAGCGTCCTTCTGCAATGAAGCTGAAGACTGCTGACTGCATGAATCCAGCTCAATGTCACACGTGTGGAGGAGCTTGGGGGCATGAGCGGCCTGCATATGAAGAATGCAGATGCACCCTTTTCAGCCGCGCATCAAAGCTGTTGTGATCCGCAGTCTGTCGGCAGGCCGCTAAGAGCAATACAACGTGGATGGGGGGGAACCCTACGCCGGTGGAATCTGCCTGGTGATGTTATCACAGAAACCAGCTTCGAAGGTGTGAGATGCCCAGTTGATTACGGCAGGCCATTGATTAGCCAGGACATGCGAGAGTTGAATCCGTCTAGAGCAACCGGTGCTATCTCCCTGCGGGGTCTTAGGGGTTCAGTCGTCTGTCAACCGAGAGAACCTGCCGCACCTGCCGAAGTGGCAGAAAGCCGCGCTTCCCACACTCAATGCTGCTCAGTCGTCACTCCTTGCCTGGGCTGCAGCCGTGATACATGTACAGTAGAACTTACTGTCTAGCAGCGTCTAGCAGTCATCGGAGAAGTGAGATGTCGCAACAACAAAAGAAGCTTCCCAGTCTGCTTTCCAAAGTCCTTGTAGGCAAGCAAACGTACTACATTTAAAAAAATAAAAGCGTGAGTGTCGATATGGATTGCGCTGGCCGCGATAGAAGGGCCGCAGAACCGCTCCACAAATTTCAGCAACGAAAAGTCCGCAGAACCACTGCCGACCGGATCTGCTTGATTTCCGGCTTGCGGTAGGGGGCCTGTCTCTTGAGCTTCTTGCTTACTGCCTAACTGTTAGGATCAACCTGCTAATCCGGACACACTGGCTGCAGCAAGCTACGCAAGTATTGCAATTCGGGCCACCAAGTCCCCGGCGCTTGTCCCGCGGCCCGGGCGACTTTGTTGGGCTGCTAGCGGCGTGGCTGCTGCCGGGATCGTTGCCGGTCCTAAAGGCGCAGCATGAATCCCAGATCCGCAGAGCCTTGTTTAGATGGCTTCCCGCAAAGGACGATGCTGCTAGCAGCTACGAGTAGCAGCTCTTGACATTTCAGGTGACTTCAGCATCAGCCAATACTATTTCGATGTGGCAGTGAAGGCTGTCAAACAGCAACCACGAAAACAAAATCCAACTTCCTTACATTCAACATTGCAACGCGGATCTATGCCTTGCACCTTTCAACTCTGGTCATAGACCTGTACGGCTCTCTGTCGCCACGCTAGCGAGGCTTGGCAACCGCGAGAACCTCAAGCCCCGGCTAGGGAAAGAGCATTTCTGAGAGCTTCTCCAAGATGGCTTTGGGGTCCTGCAAGGCAAACTTTGCAGCCCCTAGAACTGTAGGACTAGTAGACTTGAGCTCTCTTCTAGCGATGTCTAGTGCCTAGATTGAGGAGCTACCATGCCTTCGTGTCTAAGGCGAGCAACCTCGTCTGCAGAGAAATATCTTGCTTCTGCACGCATGTCTCCTGACCAGTAAAAACAATGTATAGCAAGTGGGTATCATACCTGCTGGGAGAATCATACTTCTAACCTCACTCCAAAGACTTATCACAAATCTGCTTGGCACCGTCCCTGCCATAGTGGAAGAGCCTGGGCAACACTCGTCTGATGGGATTTCGAGCAAATGGCTGAGAAGTTACATAGACGACGTAGATCATAGAGGTGCGTCTGGAGTACGGACCCGAGGACTGCTGTCGCACTGCGAATTGCAGATGTCCAGGTGAAATGCACCCATCTAAGGCGATGTGATACCATTCAGACACACACAGACAGCTCAGCCTGCTTCTATAGGCTGCAAGAGCCAGAATTAATGACAAGTACAAAGCTTAGCAAAGCTTAGCTCAGCACAGTAGAAGGCCTGGAACCACCACCTGACCGTCAGACTCTCTTGAAAATCAGATTTGGATGCTGCTTTGCCAGGTGTCCGATTTTGCTGCACCCATCCTTGAATTTGCCCTGGCTGGGGCTTCCACGGCTCCAATGGCCAAGTTCGTGAAAAAAGCTTGCGTGGCATCCATGTTGGCCGCTGATGTCTCCTCTGAAAGTGTCCAAATGTGTCACAGGCGTGGCACACTGCTTCGGACAATTGCAGAGAGGAATTGCCAAGGTTCTCCTTCCTCAGGCCTTTTTCTACCGCCAAGGCCGGCCGCAAGAAGGATGGAGCTCACACCTTTGCTATTCTGCGCGCTCTAGGATTGCACAGGCTTTGTTGGCCTTATCTTTGAGTGCAAGGGCAGAATCATGATGCTCTGAGAAACGTATGAAGCCTAGCAGAGTTGCTCAGAATTGTGATGCAATATGCAGAGTGGAGAAGGCCCGTAAACAGACTGCACTGTTGTTGCAAAATAGGCTTGACACTCACAAATGGCTGCAGTTGCGCTTGCATCCCCAACCGCAAGATTGCTCAGCAAGCTATATTACAACTGTGCCACAACGAGAGAAAGAGGGTAAGGACAAACTGCTTCAGCAAAGCAACCTAAAGGTTGACTTAGCTGCAGCAAAGCAACCTAAGGGTTGACTTAGCTTGAAAATGTCCACCTGCCGGGACATTGATTTGAATCCTTGCATTGTGGTCGGTGTATACAAGCTGACTAATTTCAGGTCTTACTTGACAAAACTACAATGCATCGAGGAATAAACTTCGTTTGCTACCAGGTAGAGACTGTGCATTCTCGGCTTCAGGTTCACGTCTGGTCACTACTTCCCAGACTACATCTGTGTCAACTTAATGCATCTGAACATAACAGTGTGCCTCAAAGCATCTAAAGCCCCAACCTCATAGCTCCTAAAACGACTCTGATCCAACCAGCGTCGTAAAGCTTTTTTGTCGCGGGCTATCCCATCACTTGCACGCCCACTGCGCGTGTGCGAGGCCCATCCAAGTCGATGAGAAGCACGGACCTGGTGCCCACCGCATCTGCATACTGAGACAAATTGCTTACAAACTTCCGGATTTGTGAAAACAAAGAGCTAAAGCGAACTGCTTTCAAGCTGGGAATTTGCGACCCCTTTGGTTCTCAAAGCCTGAACCAAGAACCGAGGCCCTTACGCTCTTCTTTGCAGAGGTTCTGGGATTCGGATTTTGAAGAGATTTAATTTCAGAAGTCGACCTCCAAGCTTTCGAGTTGTTCGGCAACTTCAGCCTCTGAGATTTAGAGGTGCTGGACTCAGGGACATAAATCTTCAATGTCTCAGCCTCTGAGATTCGAGATTTCACAGCTAATCGCACTATGTTTGGGCCTCTGAGATTCTGCCTTCAAGAGGCCTCGGAATCTCAGATTCTGAATTTCCGTGGTTTCGGGCTCATGGACTCTTAGCGTCCTGACATGTCCTAGTAGTCATAGAAACTCCGTGTGCTGAAAGCATCTTCATAAAAATTACAGGGTCCATTGTCGGAGACGAGAAACACAATAAAAGTCATACGAAACCAGCTGTACGACCTCTAGATGTTGATCCGGCAAATTAGGCAAAGCATTCCACTTCATGAAGGATGTCAACCCCCTCTTCAAGAACACATCGAAATGAAGACCTCTCCGAACTTCTTTTTGTTTTCGCACCCTACTTGTTACTTGCAACATGGAAGAGACGCAGCCCATAGCTGATAAGCGATGTGATTTCACTGAAAAGGTGGAGACTCGACTGCATGCTCTGATAAGGACTGAGAGTTGCTCCAAGCACAAATAGCTTCCAGCCTGACCCCAGTCTTACTCGAGATCTGATGACCAGCCCAGCTGCTACTTGCCGCTCCAGGCCTAGATATGTCCAAACCCGGTCGGGCAAACTGGCATATCCAAGAGGCTGCCACTGTCCCAGTGCCAGCTCTCCACCTGGAACATCTTGGAAGCTTCGAATCATGAACGCCACGGGTAGGATGACTCTCAGAACCAATCCCTCAGAACTCTACCCGGGCTGACCCGCCACTGGGATGGTCTCGGACTGGCCAATGGTGATGGCAAGAAGGTGCGAGTGAGCATTCTTTGGCTCCTGGTTGGCAGGCAGATTGTCGAGAATTCAGTTCAGGACAGCTTTGCAAGGCTTGCGCCGATGATCTCGTGTTGAGGCTGCAGAGCGGCTGGAGCCAAACACATGAATTCATGCAAGCAGAACCAGGCCAGACTCTCAGCCCCAAGCTGAAACATAATTGAAGCCAACATTGAAGGACTCAGAAGTCCAACGTGCCCGTCCTGCGCCATGAACTCTTCCAGCGTGCCCTTGCCCTTCCAAAAGCAAAGGCAGAAGCTTGTGAGCTTGCGGAAGCTTGATTGTTATGTGCGCATCCTTCGCTAAAGGCCAGTGCAAACTGCGGGGCAATCATTCAAGCGCACACCGTGACACCTGCGACATCCAATTGCGTTCGATGGCTGCGCGGTCCTGCACATAGCTGGTGGCTCTGCCTAGAACAGCTGCCAGCTTGACGGAAGTGACAGCAACCGCGTCGACACCAAACATGTCATTAAGCATCATACTTGTTGGCAAGCACCCATATGTGCTGGAAATCCTGACGGATACAACAATGGCCGGCACATAGATGTCGCTGCAATTCTGAAAAAATGTGCCCCTTCGAGATGTTGGCAAACGTACTATGCACATGCTGCCCATGTGGAAAATTGGCCTATGCCCAAAGGCTAAGGGATGGGACTGTCTCAACTGCTTCCACGCCTTCTCACCCCAGCATCCCTCTGCATCATCCAGCTTGCCCAACATGCATTGACGTGAAAACTGTCCTTCTCCGATGCAGGGCGCAACTCCAGTTGATTGTGTTTGTACTCCTGAGGCAGGTTGGAGCGGTATGTTGCAATGCAGAAGTGCAGGGAGCGCGCCTGCAAATTAAAAATCAAGAATCAAGGACAAGCCCTCCATCCACATCCCAATGCCACGAGTACGCGACCAGCGAAGCATGAGTCACAACCCAAAGCGTACTTCAAATTTTCATACCTGGCACGTCTCCGCTTCCGCGAGCCTTTTGTGAACCACTTTGTTTCGTCACAGTACGTTCTCTTGTTGGACCCCCTCCTTGTGACGCTTGACTCCCATTGAATTACCAGCAGGAAGCATTTGCTCATCGATGACAATCACCATTTAAGCTGCAAACATTACCACTGAAAAATGACATGCTCTTGCTTGGTCTTGGCACGCACATTCAAAGGGCCTCCGACCTTCTGTGAATTTATCGCGCAAGTCCCGCTGGTCTTGCTCTGAATCTCCGGCTGTTTGTAAACAATCTGACCAAAATCCCAGAAACTGTAGTCCAAGTGCTTTTATGGGAAAGGCTTTCGCGAGCAGACGTCCCGCATCCTTCTGCGGCCACAATCTTCTCCAAGGTTTGGCGGTTAACCTCACACCTTTGCGGTGCCTGTTAATTACTCACAACTGGCACAACTGCAACAAGAACCGTAGCTCTTTTGCTCACACCTGACTTGACAACCCTGTGACAGTGCTGGGCATCCCTTACATTCGCAAGAACGTGCAAATCTTTATCCTTAGCTACGTTAGCAAGTGTTGAATGCAGCCAGCCGCTGACGTCTGAAGACACTCAAACTGCAGGCCCTATGAAACTCACTGAAAAGGCAGAGGCATCGGTATAATTGAAAGGTTCTTGTACATAGCATCTAGCCATTGCTAAACAACAAGCCCGCGCGCACAAAGACTTGTTCAACGCGGGGACACCAGTCGGCTGCTTGGCCAAGCAGGCCCAGGCAGCCTAATCACACAAGACAGAAAATCAAGACAAAGCAGAGGTGCGCCGCTCAGGACCGCGCCTGGGCAATTGCCTTCAGGCTTCTTAGATTCCTCCTCAACTTTGCACACTCCCCGGCATCAATGCGTGGCGCTGACCTTGCAAGGGGCAACAAACAAAAGCGCGCCAGGGCCTCATCCGGCTTCTCGGCAACCACATTCAATAGGAGAATCGCCAGAGGCATCAAGCTAGAGCCGACGAATCATGCCAGCAACAGGATGCACGCTCCACGTGTCCTCCATGGCAGTGGGTTTGCCTGCGATGCCAGCAATGAGTTTATCCACCCATCTTGGTCACACTCCTTCCTGACACATGTGACCAACAGGTCTTCTTTGTCATCAGTCTCCAGCATCATCTTCTTCACAGCAGCAGGAAGGGGAGTTGCTTGCCAACTTCTGTTCCAAAGACATCGTAGACATGAGAAAGAACACAGCAAGCAACACCACCAACAGTTTGGCCAAATCGCGCTGAAACCACCACTCCACACACAACAGCGAAGACAGCTGTGCACAGGTGTAAACGGACACCAAGCAAGAGACAAGCTGACCACGCAGCCACGTCGCCGGCGAGACCATCACCCTTTGGCAACTGCAAGCGAAAACGAACACTGCAATGCCGCCCCATGCATCAAATTGCACAACCAAGCATCCCAAACAACAGGCGATTGCGCCCGGCTCACTCTCAGATCGGGCACTGAGGGGTCACACCCACTCTAGCCGCAGCACACATAGTCTGCAAAGTTGCGCTATCACGCACCGGGAAACAACAAGACTACAGCTGAACCCGCGGCCTGCATGCCAAGAGCCAACGCCAAACATCCTCCAGCAACCCACCTGTATTTGTGCGAACTGCGACGAAATGGAACCATCCCGTGCATCCGTTGATAATCCAAGGGCCCACCGAGCTGTCATCGTTTACATGCTCCCCCCACATCGCTGTCCTCCTACAACGCCTCACTGGGGCACGCACTGCTATTGTTTTAATCCCCTCTTTCTGGCTCCGAATATCCCCCAATCGCGCAACAAACATTCTTGTCAGCACCAACCTGTCTCCAACTTGTTCAACAAGAACCGTTGCCACCTCAGCTACCCCACCATGTTCTTGCGACTGTATCTTCTTCTGCACGCAGCTAGGCACACTCAGCTCCTTCCGGTGCCCTTGCGCGGAGCATGCGGAGCGATCCTTCGAGCTCACATCTGACTCTCTCTCTGCCCAAGTAAGGGCTGTGCACGTCAAGCTGTGCAGAATAGAAGAAAATACGTCGTCACTACCCACGCCACCATACAAGTCCAAGCACCTGCGGAAGTGAGCGAAAACAGTGGGGTACGAAGCAGATCTCCCTCAGGGCCGGCCGCCAACCAAGACGTCTTTTTTCAGAAAAACAATTCGCATGAACTCAATTCCTTTAAAAAAAAATATGAATAGGGTACCCCACTTTTGATTCACGCCGCGGCACCACACAGCCCAAGGCATTCCTGCTGACTGCTTGCAACGCCAGGCCCAACTGCGCAAGCCTGCTGGCAAGAGCGGAGCTCACTCCAATAGAAGCTGCAAAAAAAAAACATAAACATAGCACAAAGAAGTAACCAAGGATCTTCGAGGAACCGATAAACATGAAATTTGAAAAAACTTCACCATTTCGAACGCTAACGGATGAACTTCGCACGTTCGACGCTTGCCCCACTTGTCGGGGCAGCCCCATGGCTCCAACAGAGGACTGCGAAGTCCGCCAAGCAAAACACCTAGCTGCCTAGCTACGGTCTGGGCGCGGTGAACTTCATCGCAACCACACTCATCGATTTGCCTTTCCGATTTTGCCCTCATCCCTGCGCACCCCCGGCGCATAGACTCTCAAAGTTGTGGCAAAGGCGGCAAAGTCACATTCCACAAAAAACGTCCCAAAAAAACACGAAATGCACCAACCCGCAAGATGTTTTTTCGACGTAGAAGCTGCGCGGCTCGCAAAAACCTCAAAAAATAAGATACCTCAGTAACAAAGATTTCCATGTCGCTATCATCTATTAACTGGGTCGCCGCGCTTGCTCATTTCTCACACATACGCATCCTCTCTGCATCCTCTTGACCAAGCAAACTATCACAACCTTCGCGGCAATCCGGTTGACTTGACATCGCAACACTAGCACGCTCAGCAGACTTACTAAACCACCCTTTTCAAAGCAGGCGCCGATGCTGCGGAATTACATCGACCCAAAACGCGGCCTCTGTCAACAACATTTTTTTCCATTTCCAAACGCAGCA